GTAATCAACAACACATGGACACAGGAGACCACTTCCTAGGTAGAACCCCAGTATCACAGTCAATAAGAGAAACAACGAATAAATGGTACCTCCTGAACCTGAGTAGCTTCTTAAAGCAAAGGACACTGTCATTAAGACAAAAAGGCAACCTACTGATTGGGAGAAGATCTTCACCAACCCCTCATCAGACAAATGTCTTATCTCTAAAATATACAAAGAACTCAAGAAACTAGACACTAAAACTCTAATTAACCCAATTTTAAAAAATGGGGTACTGAACTGAACAGAGAATTCTCAACAGAAGAAGTTTAAATGGCCAAAAGACACTTAAGGTCATACTCAACCTCCTTAGTGATTAGGGAAATGCAAATCAAAACAACTTTGAGATATCATCTTACACCTGTCAGAATAGCTAAAATCAAAAACACCAATGGTAGCCTATGCTGGAGAGGAGGTGGATTGAGGGGAACACTCATTCATTGTTGGTGGGAATGCAAACTTGTGCAACCACTGTGGAAATCAGTGTGGTGTTTTCTCAAAAAACTCAGGAGAAGCTAAATAAGAAAGAGAACATAAAGAAAATCATACAGTTATCCTCCTGGATATTGGAAGTAGACAAGATTGCCAGGCAAACTTGGGTGCACAAGGGGATGGAAAGATGGAAGAAAGGGGAGAGGACTAGAGAAAAGGGAGAGGGAGAGGATTGGGGATAGCTTGGGGGAATGGGATGGGTGGAGGGAGCAAGGATGGTTATGGGAGCAGGGAGGTATATCTCTCAACTAAGGGAGCCATTTTAGGGTTTGCATGAGACTTGATTCTGGAGGGGTTCCCAGGCCCAAGAAGAGGTCCCCAGATTGTTCCCTGGGCATCAGAGAAGAGGGTGCCTGAACTGGCCTTGGCCCATAACCATACTGATGAATATTTTGCATGTCACCATAGAACCTTCATCTGGCGATGGGTGGAGATAGAGACAGAGACACATATTGGAACACTGGACTTAATTCCCTAGGTCCAAATGAGAAGCAGAGGGAGGGAGAACGTGAGAAAGGAAGGCAGAACCAGAGGGAACCTTCATCCGAGGATGGATGGAGATAGAGACGGAGACCCACATTGGAGCACTGGACTGAGCCCCCAAGGTCCAAATGAAGAACAGAAGGAGGGAGAACATGAAAAAGGAAGTCAGGACCGTGAAGGGTGCGTTCACTCACTGATTCAAGGGGACTGAGTGAATGAGAGCTCACCAAGGCCAGCTGGACTGGGACTGAACGAGCATGTGATCAAACCGGATTCTCTGAATGTGGCTGACATGGTGGCTGACTGAGAAGCCATTGACAATGGCACTGGGTCCTGTTTCATCTGCATGTACTGGCTTTTTGCGATACCAGTCTGTTTGGATGCTCACCTTCCTGGACCTGGAGGGAGGAGGGAGGAACTTGGACTTGCCACAAGGCAGGAAACCCTGACAGCTGTTGGGACTGGAGAGGGAGGAGAAGAGAGAGTGAGGGGAGCGGGAGGAGGGGAGGAAGTGGAAATTCTTATAAATAAATAAATAAATAAATAAGGCTACCTTCTGACTGGGAGAAGACCTTCACCAACCCTACATCAGACAAATGTCTGATCTCCAAAATATATAAAGAACTCAAGAAACTAGACATTAAAACATTCATTAACCCAATTACAAAATGGGAAACTGAACTGAACAGAGAATTCTCAACACAAGAAATTCAAATGGCCTAAAGACACTTAAGTTCATACTCAACCTCTTTAGCGATCAGGAAAATTCAAATCAAAACAACTTTGAGATACCATCTCACACCTGTCAGAATAGCTAAAATCAAAAACACTAATGAAAGTCTATGCTCGAGAGGTTGTGGAGTAAGCGGAACACTCATTCACTGTTGGTGGAAATGCAAACTTGTACAATCACTTTGGAAATCAGTGTGGCGGTTTCTCAGGAAACTGGGAGTCTACCTACCTTTGGACCCAGCAATTCCACTCTTGGGTATATACCCAAAGGATGCCCAAACATAGTGCAAAAGCATTTGTTCAGCTATGTTCATAGCTGCACTATTTGTGATAGCCAGAACCTGGAAACAACCTAGGAGCCCCTCAATAGAAGAATGATTAAAGAAGGTGTGTTATATATACACATTGGAGTTTTACTCAGTGGTAAAAAACAATGACATCTCGAATTTTTCATGCAAATGGTTGGAAATAGAAAACACTTTACTGAGTGAGATAAGCCAGACCCAACAAGAGGAATATGGTATGTACTCACTCATAAGTGGATTCTAGCCATAAATAAAAGACATTGGGCCTATAATTCATGATTCTAGAGAAGCTAAATAAGAAGGTGACCCCAAAGAAAATCATGTAGTTATCCTCCTGGATATTGAAAGTAGACATGATTGCCAGACAAAAGTTAGGTGCACTGGGGTGAGGTGTGTTTATGAAGAGATGGGGAGGGAGAAGGGGAGGGTTGGGGAGAGTTTGGGGGAATGGGCTGGTTAGGATGGAGGAACGATGGATATGGGAACAGGGAAGTAGATATCTTAATATGCATACCATATTCCTCTTTATGGGTCTGGGTTACCTCATTCAGGAT